ATAATAATAATAATAATAATAATAATAATAATAATAATAATAATAATAATAATAATAATAATAATAATAATAATAATCGATATTTAAACAGGGTGACCCTTCAGTCGCAGGACTGGTATCAACGGGGGCCCTGTATAACGCAAAATAAAAAGAGCATATATAAATAATATATATCTATAAAAAACTAACTACTTTAAAAGATACGCTGAAATGTTTAAAAAATTGTTAGTGTACGGATTTATCTTTAAAGTTGTATTACAATGTTTTGTTACCTTTTTACAGGACTTCGTGAATCTGAAAGGAGAAGTGTTTTTCCCTAACCTTACATTTGAGATGGAGAAGGTACGTGACGAAATTGTGTCACAAGAATGTGTCCGCCATCCTGCTTATTAGAGACCTGAACTTTCTTTACTTTCTGACGTTAAATCTATGGATCGGAAAACAAGCGTTCTTCGTTTTTGGGTTCCACTTGCTAATTTATGTGGGCAAATTTTAGTGTTTGATGCAAATCAATGCAATTTTAAAATGTAACGCACAAGATATCTGTTAGCCCAGCTTTGCCACTGTTTTGCTTACACATAGATAGCAGTCATTATGTAACGCTCTTCTGTTAATTCTTCTGTGGATGCGACGTGGCCAACTGGTTCAGAGCGCTGGATTTGAAATCTGGTGGTCCCTGGTCCAAATCCTCCACCCTACCGCCATGTGGATTTGTTCTCGCTAGCCCCGAGTTCAACTCCTCAACCGTGTTGTCTAAATAGCCAACTGGTCAGCCTCCCACCAGTTGGGATTCTTAATAGCTTGTGTTCTGTTTCATTATCTGTTTCCTTAGCCCAACAGTGCTAAATACGCTTGATAAAGTTATTTATTTTTATTTTATTATTTTAAATTGCAGGTTGACTTTGGTTGTATTCTGAACGATACAGAAGTGACGCAGGTGGTAACAGTCACCAATCACAGCCCCATGGACGTCAAGTACCGGTGGAGCTTCATTGACTCTGCTATACAGTTCGAAAACAAAGAGGAAGATGAAGGTTTGTATCAAGAGCTCAAAATATTGATTCTCCTCTCTCATTGTCATATATTTCTATTCTCCCAATTGGGAGAATTTAGTGGTATGTGAAAATGTCCCTTAGATGAAAATTTTCCTTCAAATATATATGAAAAGGAGGATAGCAAGTGAATTGGAAAGTTGATCGAGAAGGCGTCTTTCCACGTTCCTTTTTGCCTTTGTTTTTCAAAATGAGATCTAGTGGAAAAAGGAATGTAGCTCAGTGCAGGCAACGTGGTAATCTCACCGGCTGAAGGACAATTTATCACTCGCTTAAATTAGATTTCACTAGAAATCAACGACTTGGTGGCCAGAAAAGCCAGTTGAGCTTGGTCATGAAACTGCGTCTGTATCTCTTTTCCATAGCTACATCCCTGATAGAAAACCTTGCACTTTAAATTGAGTTCATGTACAGTGATATCAGGCATATTTTCGAAAAAAAAATGTCTTGTACCAAGCGCTATTTTGGAACAAAGACATAAGTCAGAGATGGGCAGAGTGAGGATAGTAAACATGCGGACAAAATGGACTAGAGTTGTGAATACTTACTCACTAACTCTAAACCCTTACTGGTCTTGTTTCTAGGAATTGGAGGTGAGGTTGATGATGACAGCCAACCAGAAGACGGCAAAGAAGGAGAAGAACAAGAAGTGCAAGAAACTGACAGCGTGACCATTGAAGTACCTGATCATTCTGGGTCGCCGCCTCAGCCCGCAGAAAATGCCACCGCATCATCACAGGGAAGCAGACCTTCCACTACTGAGGAGCAAAGGCAACAGGAGCCAAGCCCAGCCAATCAGCTGGCAGTACCTTGGGGACAGAGTGGATTGATGGGTATTGGAATTGATGAGGTTGGTAGGATTATTTCTCAAACTTATCAAGTTTAAACAAACGAGAAAGCGACCGTGATGGTGTTTGGAGTAATATATCAAGCACGAAAGACTGTGTTTGACCAGATTTCCAAAAACCGAGAAGAGAGTTGAAAATACGACGCGCAGCGGAGTATTTTTGACGAACTTCGAGGTGTTTTAAAATGTGGTAAAACACGGTCTTTCCTGTTTGATATAATACATCAATTTATTCACATAAGTGGGTTATTCCAGTTAAATAAGGCCCTTATTTACCAAAAGGCAAAATAATATTCTAGACTCACAGAGACCAGAAGATTAAATACCTATAGTATCTTAGGGTTTGTCGTTTTGGGTGCGCTATTTTTTGCAGCAACTTAGGAGTCTGTTATAGGTTAACTTTTAGGTTTGTTTTGGTCAGTCCTGGTATATCAACAGAGTTCTCAAAAAGTTTGAAAAAAATTTAATCTTAGGCTACCTTTCCAGACCTGAAAAAATTTAATATATGGTAGAAAAGGTTGTCCTCTGGCTTAAGTGTAGATCTTGGTGCAAGATTAAACAAGTTACCCTGAAATGCCACTCAACAGAATTTAGAAGTGTGATGCGACTTTTAGAAATATCAGTGCGAGCCAGAAAAACGTTTCGTAGAAGCTTTACATTTTACCTTCTAAAGGCCAGTATCAAGAAATAACCATGGTTATTGTATTGTGTTTATTTGCAGATTTTTGACATTCTGCCGTTGTACAGCACCCTTCACCCACACGAGAGCCAGAAAATACAGTTCACCTTTTATGGTCATGCCAACATTAGTTCCCAGGCCGTTGCTCGCTGTTCTGTCCACGGAGGGCCTGATTATGATATTGAGCTGCTGGGTCAGGCTTCCTTGGTGCAGTACTTCTTTGATCGACAGGTCGTCGATTATGGCAAGCAGGTAGATTGTGGTCATTTGTTTATCTTAGTTAGCCTGCATAACCGGCGGAGGGANTGTGCCGTTCAGAGCTCTTGCAGATGTAAGTACAGCATGTCATGACAGCTTGTAGCCATTCGCTTGTACAGTCCAAGTGCTTGTGTTGTTTGGTTCAATGGTCTGAAAAATTCAGTACTGATCAAGTGATTGTCGTCCTCAATTAGCGGCCAGTTCCCGAAAATTGGAACACTCAATAGACCATTTTACAGTTGTCTGCTGAGTGATCTGGCCTTTGAATGGCAGCGAGGCTGCAGGTGACCTTTTTTTTGATACAGACCTCAAGCTATTGTTTTGTAAATTAAGTTGTTTTTATGCTAACTAGTTGGCATTTAAATCAGAAGAGCATAGAGGTCTGTATCAAAGCAAGGTCACATCCAGCCTCGCTTGTAGTCAGAGGCTAGGTAACTAAGCACACAACTGTAAAATGGACTATTATTGTGAACATTTCTTGTCACCTTTTATAAAGTTTTTGGTTTTTCAACGTTCTCTGTCATGCTCTCTTCGTCAACATATTCTTAAATTAACTTTTCTGAAAGCAGTATATTGGATGAAACTTAAAAAAAATAGTTTCTGTTTAATCGCGTTTACTACTAGATTTGAAAGAATCGTTCAATCTATAATTTGTGGTATGAATCTTGTTTAGTCTGTTGGTGATCTCGGGGTTCAGATGGAAATTGAAAGACTGCTGGTGAAGCAGTTCGCCTTGGAACAGCAGGAGTTAACAAGAACCACCTCCCTAGTGCAGACCTCTGGCTCTCACCGAACGGCAGCGAAGAAACAGCGACCCAAGTAAGCTGTTAAACTTCAGTCTGAAAGTTGCTATTCAGTAACAGCTGGTGTCGTTAGTTTGTCATCATTTTTCAAAATGCAGTGTAGAATTATTTTGCCGTGAATGACGAATATCAGGACAGTTCTCACTGAAGATAAATAGACACCTTTATTTAAAAGTAAAAAGTTAAAGGTAAAAATTTCAGGGTAGTCCCGTCAGGGAGCTTACAAAGCATCTCTGAGGTGACTGAATAAAAATCGTGATAGCTATTGGCCATCTCAGCCGGGACGAGTTCCAAGATATAAAGTGTGCGGCGTTATCACTGCTTTTCAGGGCTCAACTGATCAGTTACATCCTGGACTTTGGTTACGTGGTTTATGGCACAGTTCGCTCACACGTGGTCCGAGTTACCAATAATGGCTACTTCCCAGCATCATTTGCTCCCGAGAGGGCGGCCTTATCAGGCAGCGGATTTGGAGTAGAACTGGACCGAGTGCGCAATCTCCCTGGTGAACCCGATAATGAAAGCGTTGAGTTCATGGTGACCTTTGACCCTAGAGCGGCTGGTCTTCCCATGGGACCTGTTGATGTGCACGTGCCTTTTCACGTGCTAAGCGGGCCATCATTTGGATTGAGGATCAAGGCTGTAGTGACTATGCCAGACATGGGCGTGTCAACAGACTCGTTAGACTTTGGTGTGGTGGAGTGTGGTAACAGCAAGGTCATGACCATACAGCTGCATAACAACCAACAAGTCAGGTGAATACAGACATTAGGAGACAGTCTGTCTATTTAAGCGTTATTTCGTTATTTTTAAAAGCTCATAACCTTAGCTCACTACTTAATTCCACAGCACATTGGCGGCGTTTTCTTTTTGGCGATCTGATAGCGCTAGATTTCCAGATATCTTGTTGGGCCTTGTTGGCTACTTAACAATTAGACCCGTGGCCCTTGAGGGCGAAGGGTCTAATTGTTTTAGTATCACCCAACTAGTCGGACAGAAAAGGAAATAATAAAGTTAGCAAATACAAGTTGAAGAAATATTTATTTGGGAATAAAACGAAAGAAAGCGTCACGCTCGATTGCGCCAATTTCGTTGCTCGAGGACTATTACTAATAGTCCTCTAGTAGCGTAACCAATGAAAATGCAGGATTTGCATTAGTCCACTAGTTGGGTGATACTAATGTGCTTTATCCTTTCAACAAGCTATGGGAGCTAGTGTCAGTGTACACCAGTGTGAAGCGTGCACAATTATCCATTGCAAAATAGTGGCCGCCATTTTAGCTGAATTCGAAACTTGTGCTGCAAGTTGTATGGCCAAAAAGAATGCTCGTATCTAAAACTCTGCGGAGTTCGAGCCTCCGAAAAATGGTCCGTGCCCTACTATCCTGAAATCCTGTAAGTAAACGATCAAGTGTCGGTACTAGACGGTTGGTAATTGGTTCCTTTATTGTTTGTAGGTGTGACTGGTCATCTGAGCCTCCAGAAGAAAAGAAGAAAAAGGTATTCTTAAAACATCAGACGGGATATTTTTCTATCTTGGGTTATTACACTTGTATGCCCTGTAACTTTGCTGTCATTCGCACCCTTGCCGTCGAGGTCGCAGGAAAGTCACAGAAAGGGATTGGAAACCTTATTGGAGTATATCTTGATTATTCACTCATTTTATTGCTGAACTATCGTTGGGATTATTTTATTCGTAGGCTCCTATAAATATTTCCCAAAAAAGCTATCTGGACCCGAAATTTTTAACCTTGGCTTGAACCGTGCAAGCGTTTAAAATATAACCATTTTTGTCAACGTTTTTCCCGTAGTCTGACAAGATGATTCCACTTCACCTCCGCAAGAAGCTGCGTACGGAAAAACCCAAACCGAAACACTTTGAGGTCATGCCGCCCATCGGCTCACTGATGCCTGGTCAGCGGATTAATGTTCAAGTCAAGTTTATGCCCACAGAAGAGGTGAGAGGCTGTTTTTTTTTTGGCGGGAAATTAGATGTACAGGTCATATGACGCTGATTTTACAATCAGTGAAGACTTANTTTTGCGCTTCGCACAAAAAATTACAATTTGCTAATGCTTTCATTTGCAGATGCTTCGCACAATGAAAGGCTATGATGAATACAACACCATCTTACTTCCGCCGCGTCTACCAGGAGACAAGCTTCCTCAAGAAGTGATCGACGCCTTCAATGAGCAGCAGAGAAAGAAGGAAGCGGAGGAGAAAGAGAAGGCGGCAGCTGCAACAGTCCAGGTAGCGCAAGAAGGAGGAGAAGGTACGGCCCCTCCTGTCATTGCTACAGTGCCACCTTCTACCTCAGGGGCACGGGATGCCGGCAAGGCTGGAAGTGATGTTGGTGAGGGAGTGAAGGATGGTAAGGAAATAGGCCATGGGATTAGAACTGTTTAAGACTTAACTAATATACTAGGAAATAAGTTTAATATGGACCCTGTCATCATAAGAAGCAGATATAGTTGTTAAGAACAGAGTCCTTAGGAAGGACCATTTTAATTTTGTTAGTATGGGCTATCTTTAAAAATGCTTACTGGTAGCTATTTGCCTTTACAGACTTCAAGTTGATAAATAACTAAACATTTCACTTGCCCGCCGACGCAGCTCAACAGTTTCTTTAGAAACTAATACCTTTGGGTGTGTTTCTTTGGGAAAATCCAAGATTGGATTCTTAAATCCGAAAACGGATTTTGCGTTTCGTTAATAAACAGATTTATCCAAGATCACTCGGATCGTGGTGCATCAAAGTAACTGAAGAATCCCTGCCCAAAGTTGATTAATCGGTTCCTTTGAATTGATGCATCGTGATCCAGTGATCTTGGATTAATCTGTTTAGTAAAGAAACGGAATATCCGTTTTTGGATTTTAGAATCCAATCTTGGATTTTCCCAAAGAAACGCATCCTTTGTTTATATTTCTGAGAGATTTCTAATCAGTTTATTTCGCTCAGAATCTGTAAATTAAAGGAACCGTTTCAGTTTCCACCAAATTCCAAGCGACTCGATGATTTTATTCTGTCGTTACAGACAGCAGTAGTCTTGGTGTCGGCGAACTGGAAATCACTCCCGTCTCTGCCGCCATTGCACGGTACCTTGGTATTGACTTGACAGCTGAGGGGAGGGCGGCCCGTAATAGACGTGGTATTGCTTTAGTCGTACACGGTGCACCCTTGTCTGGTAAGACGGCCACCGCTGTATCTCTGGCTAAGATGTACGGAGCAGCTCTTTTGACCATTGATGGTGTGGTTATAGAGGCGATATCTAGTGGAAACACTTCTGCTGGTAAGAGTTTTGTTTACTGCGAGTGCTTCTCAGAGTAGTGCTCGATAGTGACCAGTACATAACTGTACACACTTATGCAAATGGGGGGTAATGTAATGCACAGGAGTGGAAAGAGGAAATAATTTCATGCACATTTTGGCAAAAGTCTGACACGGAGTTTGTTAAATCGCTTTCATAGCCTGCTCATGCAGGATAAGACAAACCATGGTTATTACTGAGCCAGGCGGGCTTGAAGAATAGTCATAAGGCATATTTCCTCCTTCAGGCGTTTTCAACACCCACACATTTTATCTAAATATCTCCTTAATGTAAAGTGCTTTCTGTGTTTCACGTTGCCTAACAGTCATCGCTTTTGATGTCATATCAGAAGCTGTAAGCAACTGTTTTCCATTTTTGTGCAGCACGGGACAAAAAAAAAGGTTGGCTTCCGACAGGAGACGCAGATTTTGTTATTCCTGTGACACAGATTACAGTTGCCTACTAGAGTATGATCGAACCAATTTATCTTCCTTAGTATTGGAGGTTGTTTGGCTAAGGCCGGAAAGTCGAGAGTAGTTTATCATTTGCTAACTGTAGTACCATTTTCGCGGAAATTTCCACTTATCTATTATACATTTTACGATAACTGCAGAAATTCTCGCGCGCTCATTGGCTAATTTATATTGTCAATAAGCGGACAGACACATGAATATATAATTTATGCGATGCGTCAACGAGCGAGAGCGGACAATTTGACAATGTGTTATCGTAAAAAAACAAATGGATGTCACTTTTTGATGCGTCTGTCCTGTCATTGACAATGAATTTCGCCATAACGTAGTCTGCTATCTGCTATCGCCTCGTGGATCCACAGCTACTTTGACAATGTTATGACTAAATTCGCCATCAATAACAGGACAGACGCATGGAAAACTGACGTCAATTTGTTAATCTGTCCGTTTTTTAGCTCAAAGAGCCAAGGAGTTATGTGCTTCCGCAGCGCGAGCAGCCAAAGAAGCCGAACAGACGGCTGAATTGCAGCCGAACCAACCAACAATAGGACTGAGTGTGGAGGCTGTAGCTGCCCTAGGTGCTGCCAGTGGACCAGCAGCTTCCACTGCAGGATCGGTCACCGGAGCACAGTCATTCCTGGGTAAGGATCGCAAAACTTCCACCATAGCTGGTGGAGGTCTCCGTGGAGGAGGAGCTGGCAAGAACATTCCTCAACTCCAGCAGTCGCCGCCTGGTACTCCACCTCAAGCTGCGCCTCTCGGCCGGAAGCTGAGTGTCAGTGCTAGTGTGGCTGGTGAAGATGGACTGTACAGCTGCCTACTTCCTGAGGACTTGCTTGTTGAACTGCTCGCAGAGAGGTTTCAGGTATGTTTCGAGATGCTGTTTGATTTGATGAGGAAGTAAGAGTTGTGACTGCTAGATTTTTGAAGCTCCCACTTATAAGCCAATGTTTCGCCGGCCGTGGAAAGCGCGCAACAAAAACATCCCGTGGGTAGGGTAAACAGTTTTTTGCCGACTCAGGGATACTGGAGACCTTGTAGTAAGACGTGAAAGTAAGAAGCATTGTCCGTGTGTTCGTGGTAATCACGTCCCAAGCTAATTCAGTTCCAGTAGGTCAGCGGCAGGGTAGAGCGAAGAATTTATAGTAGAGGCCAATTATCCGACGCCGAATTTATATTGAGACACGATTTATCCATCTGAGATGATTTATCCGTCTCAGATAGACGGGCTGACAGACGAATCAGTTGGAGACGACTTTGGGCACATAATCCGTCAAACACCTTATTTATACTTAGACGATTAATCTGCCTCAGGAAGACAAGTTACCCATCTCAGACGGATAACTCGTCCCAGGTATAAATTCGGCCATTGCTTCGTGATCGGTCATCTACTTGTTGTTCAATCTGAAAATCCCCCGCTGCCGAAGCTTACGCATGGGGAGAACAATAGTCGAACAATAGTCGAACAATAGCATTATGAAGTACTTTTATTCTGTTTAGTTGAGTGACTGTCAAAGAGGAATTGTAGTGGATGGTCTGGAATCACTGTTCAGTCCCAACATGATGGGTTCAGCCAATGCTGTTCTCCGAGCCTTTAACAACCGGAAGTACATCTTTTTCTTGACGTTGATGTTAGATCAGGCCAAGCTGAAGGCTGTGGAAGAAAAGAAGAAAGAAGAACAAGGTTAGAATTTTGTGCGATTTTGAGGGAAAAACACCAAGTGCACGATGGAGAGCGCATGATAAGCACTGGTCACGTCTAAAACAATTATTTTTATTAGGCGGATGGATCTAAAGTTTACAACAATTTGTCCGTGAACTTAATCATTAACATTGAGAAATTCTCTTTACTTAATATGCTTCAAGCATTTATTGAATTGACAGAATGAGTATTTCCACCTTCTCATTGAGGCTGCAGCACATACAACTGTAAGAGCTCTGTTTCATTTTCTCGCTGTTGTTTTTTTCGGGACATGTTGACGGTTCAGTGAAATAAACAAGGAAATGAATATGAAATAAACGTAAATTATGTGGTTTTAATATTTAAGTCGGTGATAACAGGTCAAAACCCTTGGTTGTGAACATTCAAGTTAAAGCTTAATTTTACCTTCATGTGTGATTGTTTCCTTGTGAATGCTTTTCAAAATGAAATGTGGAATGTTTCGCTTTTTGACACGAGCAACTATTTTTAATGATTTTCCTGTCGCAATTTATTCAGCCAAGCTTGAGAAACAAAAGGAAGAAGAGGAGAAGCGGCGCCTGGAAGAGATGTCTGAAGATGAGTACGATGCGCTGACTGAAGAAGAGAAGGCTGAGGTGGACAGGAAACACTTGGAGCAGAAGAAAGAGAGAAGAAAACGAGAACTAGAGAGACAGGAGAGGGAGAAGAAAGAGAGAGAACTGCAGGCTTTGATGGAGGAGAAGCGACTTGAGGAAGAGCGGTAAGTCTTGTCAGGCAATTTCTCTTTATGTCTTCTTTCCGTGTGGTTTAGATCTCACGTAAACTTGCGCCGTGCGAGAGTTTTACTTATGAGTTAATATTTATGAGATTCCGGGTCGGACACAAACTACATGCAAGATTCGCCGTAGCATAAGCCCAGGCATTGATGACTCGAAACATTTCCTTTTGATAGGAAGCCCTTGCTGAAAAAAAAAAAAGAAGCCTATCGAGAATGCTTTTGATTAAGAATAATACAGACAGTCCAAATTTACTCCTCAGACTACGTCTACCATAGTCATTCCCCTTGACCTTCAAGGTTCTGATCTGTTTCTCTTCTTATTTCTTCAGTGGTAACCAAAAAGGCAAACGCCGCGGTACCCAGCAAGTGGGAGGGCCTGGTGCCAAGAAAGGCCACGATCCGAAAGAAAAGAAACCCGAGAAAAGCAGCGACAAACTGACACCGAGTCGAACCGCTGGACTGGCGTCACAAGCACAGCCCTTCGACACGCGCACCGGCGCCCCGTCAGTGATTTCCGAGCGCTCCGACAGCAGCGATGTTACCGACGAGAGGAAACGACTGAACATCGCTAAGGTGCAGAAACATCGTCAATCTTCGGCTATATTACATCCGCCGATGATTGCTCAAGTGGAGGAAGCGAAGCCGCCGTCAGAGGAGGAAGAGCGAGAGAAGGAACTGGCTAAAAAGTAAGTCTGATGTTTAGATTGTGCTGACTTTCTTTCACTGCAGTTTCTGCTTTTAAGCTGTCGCGTTGTGGTGGTGTGTGGATAGGGTTATCAAGTGTAGTAGATCTTGGAATACTGGTCTCCGAGATGCAAATAAAACCTCCATGTAGAGGGTTTTACATCACGAAGACAAAATGTTCTGTGAAGCGATTTTATTGTTGGTATTAAGCGGTTGAGAGAATTTTTCACTCACGAGGACGATATTTCCCTTTCTTCACCTTGATAAGTAGTTTCATGAGCAAATTTAAGCATCAGGCGGAGAAATGCATTTTGAAACACCCTTGTAACCAGAAACGTTTTGTGCAATAAAAGTTACGTTTCGGTTTTTTGGGGGGCTTGTGCCTGTGTGTGTCTTTCCTACAGTCATTTGTGGGTCAACCCTTGTTGTGGTACGCTCCTTACTAACCAGTTTATTCCGGTTTGACAGGTTCAATGCTTTCGAAACCAGTCTTCGAGATATTGACGGTTTGCTACAAAACTGGGATCGTACAACAGGTACTGTGGTTCGTGCGGACACTCCAAAGTCTGAAAATTTTGATGACACTCTTCCTGCGCCTGGATCAACCAGACGAACTCGGGATAAAAAGGACAAAGAAAAAGAACTTAGAGAACGAGAGAAAGAGAGGGAAAAGGAAAAAGCAAAAGAGGTTGGTGGTCTCAGTCAGTACAAGCCTTCTGTAAATAATAAAACTTTATTAAGTGTCAAACAATGTAGCCTGGGAGAAACCCACACTAATAAGGGGACACAGACTAATACAAAACACAAGACTGAGAAGACTAAAATATCTACACTAAAATTACCCTTCAAGTGTCAGGGGTAATTTTCTCGAAACCTAACTGAAATTAACCCGCAAGTAACCTCAGTAAACATGGTTAGGCGCTCTGGGATGTTATGCAGTTCTCGGAGACATGCAGTCATGGTGGTTATTAACGAGATTTAACGAAGTTGCGAACCGTTCCGTTGCCACTTGACAGAGTTTTTGATTAAGTTTTGACACCTCTCTGCCAACTGTCTGATGACTTTGAGCTTCCCCGAGTCAAAGCACAGGAACTCAGTGTGAGAAACGGAGTTGTCAATTTCTACCTGCCTTTGTCACGTCTGCTCTGCAAATTTGCCTTTGTCATTTCTTTCGTTTTGATTTGGCCGGTTGAAGCAAAAGCCTTCAGAAAGATGTCAAAATTGATCAAAGCTTCGCCGCCAGGACGGTATGACGTACAACACTGTAAAACGACTAGTAATACATCATGCAAGGCCACCAGTACTTGTGAGATCGATCTAAGGTCCACTTGTTTTATCAAATCTTTATGACAATATGCAAAGCAGTTGAACTCCCAGCGGAAATGCAATTCTAACCATTGAGCTAATGCTGTATTTTATCTTTAGATGTCTGATTCGCCGATGTCAGCGGTCAGCGGTGATCATGATGATGACGAAGATGGCAGTAAAAAGGACGGGGTGGGGGTGCCTCAGCTTATTGTTGACACAGGGAGCCCCACAGAGTCACAAGCTGTGCAGACCCTGGCCAAAGGAATTCTGCCCACTGCTGAAGAGGTTTACTTAAAAACTAAATTAGTCTTTGCATAAAACAAACGTATATGCTTGAGTCATTGTCATGGTATTTTTTACCGCTGCAACGGTGTTTTGGTGCTTTTTGCAATCTTTTTCTCTGTCCAGATTAGTCATATTGCAAGAAGCATTATGGCAGTTGGAAGGAAAACGTCAATACAATGTTTATTGTTCAAGTCGGCTTTTTGCCAAGTAAAGTTATGTTCCTAAGTATCCACTAACTTGTAGGCTTGTTCTGTTCCCGGATATCGACCTACACTGATACTTACTCTCCTTACTGATATTATTACCGTGACGCATTCTAGGTGATGGACGGCCTGGGTCTGGGCCCGCACGGTCCTCCCATCCCACCCCCGGCCACCTTTGCTGTAGTACCGTATCCTGTGCGGAGACGCCCGCCCCTGGGAGTAGATCCGCCCTCCCATTATGTCTTCGTCGCTTCGAGTCCGGGTGATCCAAATGCCCCACAAGAGGACAAGAGTAAAGAAGCTGAACCAGAGGTGGAAAAGACGCCCGAAAAACCACCGGTAAGAGTAAGTCTTGCTCAATATCGAAAGACAAAGGGTAACACATGAAAGTGCTATTCAGCAGCTTTCATATAAATGGTCCCAGTTTTAGATGCTCATCTTCTGTAACGTTCAAAGCAGATAAGGGCTGGCCCACAGTTGCTGAGAAATGACTTACGCCTAGCTCACCTGTCGTCTTTTCATTTTACATTAGGAACATGGGCGTAAAGGTCGTAAAGACAAAGATGACAGAGAAGGAGGTACAAAGTCCAGGAAGGAGAGGGGGAGCTCTGCTAGGAAGGGAAAAGCAGCACACGGAGCCCCCTCACCACCCCCTAGTATTACCCCAGCAGAAGAGGACAAAAGGTTTGCTCCACAGTTTATTATTCCTCTTGCAATTATTTTTTATTTTAAATTTCGGATATCATAACATATTTTTTTTGGTTCAAAACAGTGAAAGTACCCTGGCGCCCAGTACCCCTCAACTCATCAATCACCGTTGGGTTATTCCCGCCAATGACACGGTCACATTGCGTGTTCGTTTCCGGTCAGAGGAACTTGGTCAGTTCGATCAGACACTGAACTTTGAGATCATGGGTACGCGCCGTCGCTATCAGCTGTTTTGCCGCGGCGTGTGTGCTTTTCCCGCCATTAGTCGCGAGCCGCGTGTGGTGTTCCCGCACCGCCGGAAGTACCGCAAACCGGAAGAGATTGTGCACAAGAAGTACGTGCTGAGTAACGAGACCTTTGAATTTGGACCGCTGCTTTGTGGTAAGTCCTGGTTGATGCGTTTTTTTCTTTCACTTCTGGACTATTGTTTATTCACTTTTCTAGTGCAATAGACTGATAACCCATCCTGCAGGAGTAGTAGAATTTCTAGTCGCTTCAATAAACTAAATCTCTTCTTGCGTGCTTCCTTCTGAGTTTTCCCAAAACTTTTGAAGGGGACAAGTAAGTAAGTAAGTAAGTAAGTAAGTAAGTCAAGTTTATTGTGTATATACACACTTAGCATTTGACGAATTGTCCTCTCGGCCGTTTTTTCAAGGGACAATTTAAAATGCAGTGCGCGAATCGGCGCAACGGCGCGGCCTGGCTCAAAACCTGACATCTTCATGCAACAGCAACAATCTTTATCATTGTTTTTTGTTTGTCGAGTTACCTTGTTAGAATTGGCCTGGCCCGTGGATAGCTAGTGCTAGTCTAGGCGGGCCAGTGGAAGCATAATTTATTTTAAGGGCCGATTTCTTGTGGCACTAAAAATGTTTCATCGCAATTTACGTTTTTGACAGGAAAGACTCGAGATCGGTACAAGGAAGGCAAGTATCCCGAGAACATGGAGAAGATCGTGGTTTGTAACACTTCTCCATTGGAGGCGGATGTCAGCTTCTGTTTCCAGCAGGACAGTACTGCAGCTACCTTCATCCTTGATCCTCCCAGCATGAAACTGAAGCCAGGCGAGAGCCAGGTACGATAACTTATCAACCATTTACTGAATGAAATGTATACAGGGTGAACTCTTTCAGTGTAGGAGGCGTTCTTTGCTCTCTGCGACAGCATCGATTTTTATCCGAAATCAGAGGAAAACAGATGTAGATGATTATCGACCAAGATATTTCCTTGTGATAAACGTTAAATTTACAGACGTTTGCACCAGTGGTATGGTGGTGTATGAGAATGGCCACACAACCATGGCAAACGAGTGCAATTGTTTAAATGTTTGCTGAATGCATTGTGCGAAGCCAAGTTTCGAGTCTTTTTCGAATCAGACATTGAACTTCATTGTAGTGAAACTAATACGAGATGTAAACAGTGATGACTGAAATAATCAAAATGAGAATCAGTGTTTTGAGCGTCGACTGCGAGGGTTAACAAGAATTTCCTCTCCATTTTGTTGACAGGATCTCGCACTATGGGCGTATCCGAAGACACCAGGCTTCTTTGAAGACGCAGTTGTGTGCTGTATCCGCGAGAACCCTGAGCCTGTAGTGTTTAAAATCTCTTGTCATGGTGTTCGACCGGAGCTGGAGTTGGACCGAAGGCAGTTACAGTTTGACAGAGTTTTACTACACAGGTTTGTGCGATAAATCTCTCTTACTGCTACGGCGGCCATTTGAACTGAAAACGCTTTGTTAATTTTAAAGAGTGCAAAATTACCTTCTATTCAAAGGTAATCTCAAACTTAAAGTGATATCTTACGCGGCCTATTATGAGGGCAGAAAAGCACCAGAGAGAGGTGAAAATGAACCAGAAGGGACCAAGGATGGTTAAGAATAGAGGAAGATTAAGATGGATTAACGAACAATCAACTTAAAGATTTAACCCATTGAAATTGCAGTCAAACCTCTCCTCACGGACTAACCGTCCCCTTCGTGACACGTGGCACCTGCATAATGCATACACCTCTAAGGACAGTTATTTAAACTTAGTCCCAGAGAAACCAGAATTGATGTAATGTCTTCCTCTGTAACAAGGCAACCTCCATAATAAGGACACTCAGATCTGCCAGTTTGGTGTCCATATTAAAGAGAAGCATACTCAGATTGTTTTTATCGTTGACATGCAGGAAAGACACAAAGATGATTTTCCTGCGTAACAGCACACTGTTGCCTGTGGCGTGGAGAGTGAATGGAATGGACAACCTCGGAGATGACTTCTCGCTGACCACTGAACATGGCGTTATCGATGCCAAGTCAGAGTTTGCTCTTCAGATGCACTTCAGAGCTGTACGGCCGACTAACGTTAAAAAGATCGTGAGGCTGGAGGTACGAGATACACTGTCTTGTAGTAAAATGTTCTGGAAAATGCTTAGTGTGTGTACTTTGAGCGCACGGTGCATGGTGCCGTGTCACACAAGCTTTTGAAATGAATTAGAGATGTGAACGGCAAGAGAAACTTTTCAGACCTCTTCTTAGTAACTTAAGTCGCTGCAGAACTGCCGTGATCTCTTTCTTTTCATTGTTTTGATGTTCTGGTATTTTACATCTTTGCAGGTGTCGGATGTGGAACAGATCATGGGTCTTGTGCAAGCAGAGAACATTCAAGTTCACGCCGAGTCTTACGACGTGGCTTTGGACATGAGCTTCCCTAAAGGTACTCGACCCTCATACCTCATTCTTTTTGTTTTATAAGTTTTTTTTAGTCAACATTCCTTTCGATTTCTTCACTTACCTTGCATTTTGGAGAATGTCCCCTCTACTTTAGTGCTCTCCAAAATTCACAAGATGTTTTTCGAAGTATTTTATTCACACAGTCACCATTCAATCACATCAAGTACAATTCTGGAACTGTACGTAATTCTACTCGATCCTATTCTTGTATTAGCTATGGTCATAGTTTGGTCACACAGGAATTTCCGGTAATTGTTAATTCTTATCAACTGGTTCAGCTTACATCTCTGTGAAATCGCCACGCCCTATTTGTCACGCAACATGATAACAACACGTTTCCGACAGCATACCATATAGGTTATTCTTTCTGATGTTCAGTTCAATGTACACATTTCTGTAAACAACTTCCATAAAATTTAAGTTATGCTAACTCAGCGAATTTGGTGGTACATGACGACAGTGTAGCGTACTACAAAGTTGACAATTTTCGCTCTTCCCTGGATCAACCTTTGTAAAAGCATAGGAAAAGACGGACTTGAAAGTTCAAAGGCGAAAAAAAAAAAAGATTCAGTATCGATGCATTTATCTTTGGTTGCTGAAACAAGAGGTAGCTCGTTACATTTTAAATCAGTGGTTGTTTTGAATACTTGCAGCGTTGCTTGCCTTGTCTGCGTAATTTTTTTTTTTTTCATTCAAGAAATTCCAGTCTAGATTAACTTCGTTCTCAGGGTGTTTTCATCTTCCGCCCTACCAGAGCGAGAGAGGGTGGGAAGATGAGAGGCCCTGGAAACGAGGTTGGGGCTAGGCCAGCTAAGTTCTAATACTGCTTCTTTATTGTAGGTGCCGATGGTGGTCTGGACTTTGGAGTTCTCAAAGTGTTAGACGAAACAAAGCAGACGTGTTCTCTGAAGAACAAGGGCAAGTTTGAAATCAACTTCAACTTCGCTTTTGAGGCTACAGATGGCTCGCCAGCAGATGTAGAAAAGCTGTTCACAGTGATACCAAACAGGGGTCCCTTGTTACCCACAGACCGCCCAACCCAAGTGCAGGTCATCTTCAGGTCCAAGAGCGAGATAACAATTAAGGATCAGCCAATACTGAAGTGTCAGGTAAAAACATCAACTTTCTTATTGTTTAACGTTATTGGTTATTTTTAATGACAAAGTCGCCCTGACACAATCCTCTCCTTGGACACTGTTGAGTTAACCTCCTACCACTGTCACTTTTGACTTAATTCAACTTCCAATATTGATGTTCAGCCAATGTTATTTACCTCTCTCTGAAGGTAACAAACACAAGTTTATGTCCTATGATGTCTGTTCAGTAATCAACAAGCAAACGGTTGCGATTGCCTAGCGGAAACCGAATTCGCGGGAAAGAGACCTAGTGTAGTGCCTATTTTCTCCGCATTTTGAATTCTGCATCTTGTTTCCGTTTCTTACAATCACCCCCTGTTAATACATCTTACGTGACCATTCTTGATTAGAGTTTCATTGGCTGTTTCAGATCGTAGAGCCTCACCTTAGTGAAGGCGGGGAAGTAATCGCCAGCATTCCCATCAAAATCAGCGTGCGCTCCGTGTACAGTAAATACGCGGTCTCACCGGTCAGCGACATCAACTTTGGTGCCATGCTCATCAACACCAAGAAAACCCGGGTGTTCACAATAGAGAACAAGGGGGAGTTTGACTTTCGGTACTCAGTCCTCAAGATGATCAACACGGTCTCACAGGGACGCCAGAGACTGGGACCGCCTGCGAAAAGAGCCAAGTCACGTGATGGGTCTAGTTCTGGGAGATCGCAACAGGATAAACCGGCTAAACCGAAGAGAGCGGATTCAGTTAGAGGGTATGACAAGACGTGAATTTTGTAGCTTCAACCTAAACATAATTGTCGCTTGTTATGAGCAGTGCAAGTGCTTGCAGTCTGTTATCCTTTTACCTTGTTTTGCCCTAAGAAAATTTCGGATTTGTGAAATTCGGATTATTTGCTAGCGCTCTCAAACAGCATTAAACAGGAGAGAGGAAAAAGAAATAGCCTTTGCGCTCAGTGTAGCAAACCTTTTCCGAAGTGTCAAATCTGTACCGCGGGTGTTCTTCACAAGGACATATGATTCCATCCTAGGCCACACGCTCTGAAAGGACAAGCAGTTACCTTTGAAGTTAGTTTTACTCTTGTCCACTGTTAACGACACTTTTTCCTGCGCTCCTTACTTGTACTTTCTAAAATTTTGAAAGGTTTTTTGAGATTTAATTGAGTTTATAATTTGTCACTGAAGCACCTATATCTTCTTCACAGAGCCGAATTAACCACTGGCGCACCAAACATTCGTCTTCAGCTTGGTATGTTCACAGTTTACCCAGCTGTTGGGAGCGTGCAGGCAGGAAGTTCCGTACAGGTTACTGTAGATATGATCGCCGAAAATCCAGGATTCTCCGAGGAGGTTAGTCGGTGGGAATTGCAAATAAAGTACAATTGGGTCTACACTACAGCTTTAAACTGCCCAATCACACAATCAGCTTCAACATTGAAAAGGGTTTGCGGTCATTAAAGAATTTTACTTTACTTTACTTTACTTTACTTTACGCGATCATCATCACTGTGTTCTAACGTAACCAACGAATAAGATTGTTATTCACGTAGCAGTATTGTTTTCCATTCATGTTCCCTGGCGAGCTGTAAAGTTTTGGGAAAGTTCTACAACCATTTTCAGTCAAGACGTCGATGAAGGCGAGTTGGAAAGGAAACAGTATGCGTTGTCCTAAATGTAGAACGAAACCCTTCCAGTCTTCTCCGGTATTTTTGAGATTTGGTGAAACGATTTGAATGAAAAAACAAACAAACAACAAACGGCCTAGAACTCAACAAACCTCCTATTTTTTTCTGCAGCTCGCGCTGTATGTGTTTGTACTAGCCTTCTGACGTCATATTTTGCGCGAGGATGACGAAACTTTTTCGAAGTTGATTGTTTACGCAAGAAGCAAACGAAGCGTAGAAGTTAACGATCTGCATGCATGTTGCTTCCTGTTCACGCCAGAATTTCGCTCGTGATTTCGTTACAACTGTCTTTTTAGTGAAGCCGGCATTTTTAATTAGCTGCTGCATACTTGTTGGACAACAATGCACTCACAGAGTTCATCCAGTTCCATCCAGTACACAATTTTAATCTTACGTGTTATTATTTCTCTTGCAGGATATAGCCATTGACATCTCGGACCGTCCACCATCCGACCACCCACAGGGAATCCCCTACAAACTGATCGGAGAAGCGTGCATCCCGGGAATCAACACCATCGCAGACGACACCGTCGGTTCGATATTCGAAGAACACTTGATCGTCAAACAGCTGAACCTGTTCCAGTACTTGACGCACGACCTGGCGAGTGGCGCTGGGGTTTATGGAGAGGACGAGAACAAGTTTTTATTTTATAACACGATTGTTGGACGGAAAGCCAGAGCCAGGTTTAGAATCAGTAACCCAAACAAGGTATGATTATGCGCTTGTACACTCTACTCCATGGTCGCTGTTTCCTCATCATTCTTTCAGTGTAAAGACAAGTTGCTTTTGTTACGTTTAGTAGTCTATGCGTGGCTCACTAGAGAAAGAGCTTAAAACACTAGATCTTACTCTTACAAGTCACTTCAAGCTAACCACCACCTAATCAGTATCGTACTAACCACACAGCACTTAATACAACCTAACTGAGAGAGAGCTGTTTCTGTAAGTAGAAAAAGCACATAATTGCGTTCGACGAAGTGGAACGCAAACCTAATTTTGACCTATGGCTTTTCAGAGTTGGTCTGCCTGTGCACGGTTCTAGGCCGAAAAAACCACATTCCTGTAAGGATGTAAGGACACCAAAATGGCCACCCCGCTTAATTTTTGCAGGGGCATGTCACGGCCAGTAAACTGGTACCGTTTAATGCTAAGACATGTGATAAGACATGTGGCGAACNCTACTAGTCTGTATCTTGGCTAGGTAAAGCTATTTTAGACAACTCTTAGTTTTCGTCAAGAGCTCGAAAGTTCAAACCAATGCGCGGTTTCATTCCACTTTCAAGACGATTGAGCAGCTCACAAAATTCTTAAATTTTAACCCTTAGATTTTGATTCCAAATGAGAAAGATGTTTTCTGTAAGCAGGCATTTGACTATGGTTTAAGCACTTTTCTCACACTTGTTTAAACTACCCAGGTACCATGCGACTTGGTTCTATCCGTGAAACCGCAGTCTATGAAACCATCTGCTCGCTGGCACGATGTTTACGAGATTGAGCCTCAGCGTGCGTCGATTCCAGCGCACAGCTATGTGTACGCCTCCGTGACCTTCACTCCTCCATCCATGCAAACCTACAACGCTACGCTGGAAGCTGCTGTGGATGGAATGCCCAGCGCCATGTCGAAGTACCGCAACCTAACGTTTGACATCCAGGGCGAAGGAAACCTCCCCAGAATATCCGTGATCCGCCCCACTGTGCGCAACAAGAAAGGCGCCCCTGTCTTGCTGTTCCGGCGACTCTTATTGGGACGCACTCAAGTTCTGCCACTCTCGCTCAAAAACGAAGGCACATTGATGTCCCGAGTGAATTTCGATTTGAAAGATCCAGAAGGTGTTTACAACATTTCATGCGTCGAGGGCACGAAGACTCTGATGCCGCTGGACGAGGGCGATGATGACGCTGATCCAAAGTCGCGTGTTCACACGCTGTCTCTGGTAGTCCCCATGGGGAAGACAGCAGATTTTGCTATTGAGTTTAGCCCCTCTCTAGTGGGGCGTTTGGCAGGCGAGATCAGGCTGACAGTGGTTGATAATCCTTACGAGGAAAGTACTGTTCAGCTGATAGGAGAAGGATATGAAGATGAAGTGACTATAGATAACATAAGGTCCTTTGTAAACACTGAAGAGATGGCTGCCGCAGATGCGGAGATCGACGATAACACTCCAGGTATTCTAACGTGACGCCCTTCTTGCTCCGTTTCTTTGTTTTTGTTTCTGTAAAACAGCCCCTTGAACAAAAGAAATCGCGCTATCCAGTGGATAGTGATCTATCCGGCGGATAGGGTTAATCACCTTTCCAACTACTCGGGATAGAAGTGTAGCAGCTTTCTTGAGCTACTAATGTTTTATTATTGTAGCAGCTGTTGTTGCTCTAGGGCTAGGGCCATTGTTTCTGTTGCTTGTTCTGTTGTTTCCTTAAAGAGTATCGAGCCATTCATGTGAGACTTTACGAGAGCTGCTATATGATCCCTTAAAATGCAGTCAAATAGCTTAAATAGTTTTATTATCCTTGGGTCGTTTGAATTTTCATACCTAAATTTTCGTAAAGAGAGAACGTTACCACACGCAACAAAATAGACTGTTTTAAAATCTCATCGTTTTTCTAAAATCAAAAGTATACTCTACACTTTCTCGGGAAAAAACCTCAACCCAAAAATAGAACAAACTGCGAAAAAAATATATATTTTCTTGACGCCGGCTGGCACAACAAATTTGCTGCGGTTTCAAGGTGCACGACCTGATCACGTGCCAGTCGAAAGCTCAAGTTGTTGTTTCCCTAGGGAGTTAGTGAGTTTTGACTCACGAAATGTGACACGTTCTCCTCCAATCGGAAAACGTATTTTAATTGGGAAGTATAACAATCTAATTTAACCCGAACTCCATTGTTATAAACATTAAAGAGCTTGTTGTGTCTCTAACTCCCTATTGTAACAATCCTAAATTTCTTACTCTCACATTCCGCAGCATCAAGAGAAAACCACGTCAAATTTGGCGACTGTGCAGTGGGTGTGTCCAAACAGCTGTCATTCACTCTGACAAACCATTCCTCCTCGGATCCAGTCCGTTTCACGTGGTCTCCGCCGCCCGAGATCTCGTTCTCTCCGTGCACTGGTCACCTACAGCCAAACTGCGCCAAAGATGTGACAGTGACCTTCTGTTCCAAGGGGCCCAAGACTTATTCAGCATTCAACGTACCTTGTAAAGTCACCAAAATCAAGCTAGGAGAAGCACAAGACAAGGTTGGACTTCTTATACTCTAACATACGGAACATTATGAAGACGTGATTGATCATCGCCGTTATATACTGTTCAAATATATGATATTTCATATATTCACTTGTATAAGGAACATTAACATAGCACAAAGGGTGATCACATGTTTTGATTGGCTTTTGGGGTTTTTTGCTGAACGAACTAAGCCCTTTTGTATCTAACATTTTCCCCTGCCTTCAATTGAAAAGGTTGAGAAGCTGTTCACCTTTGTTGTATATATAACTTATGTAGCTGACTTATGTCACAATACTTGTCAAGATCAAACAGAATGTGCCGCCGACATTCTGACCATGAGTCAGATTTTCAAATTTATTATTAACAGTGTACAACTTACCCAAATGGTATCAAAGCAAATTTTACATCGCGCTTTTTTCGCAGGCGGTAGACTGGGACGACCGCATGCGTACTGTAAAGTGGGTAGACGTGACACCCGAGGAGGACCCTTCAACTGGCACGAGAAAGGCCCCTCGACCGGCTAAGAAGAAGATTATTGAGGTGGAAAATGAACCTCCCTACACGCCCCTGGAAAACAGCACCAAGGACGTGGAACTGCTTCTCAGCGCTGTGTGTGACTTTGCAAAGTACCGCTGCAAAATAGAGAACATTCACTTCAAAGATACAGTAATGTTTCAGTCACGAGTGTATAGGTGAGTGGGGAGTCTTCAAATGGTGTAGCCTGCGTGGCAGGCGTTTAATGGGACGGGAGAGGGGGAAACTCGAAGCGTGATCGAAGGGAGAGGGAAGGAACGCGTTCCCTTTCGTCCCCTCCGATCGCGCGTCGCTCTTCTAGTTTTCTTCTCCCCTTCCCATTTGAACGCCAGCCACTTAGGCAACAAACGGTGTCGCCGTTAAGATTAGGAAGACATGCAAAGAGATTCCCATTCTTGATGCGCAATCAGAAATAGCACATGTACCATAAATTAAAACGTTCGCAGCCAAAATACAGGTACACAACATGTTTACCCCTTTCACCGTAAAATTTTACTCCCTAGATGTTTAACGTAGTCTCACCTTTGATTTCTGCTCAGGAAATTCTAGTATGATCATTCTAATGAAAGATTATTGCGATGTGCAGTGCGGGATATAGTTTTAAGTCTGAGTGAAACCCTAGTGTGTGGCCATTCAGAAGAAAACTGTTGGTACTAGTCAGTGGATGAAATACACGAAACCTATTGTATGAGAAATACCAATTCGGAAGTTGACTACTCTAAGCAGACAATTCTTCCAGACTCATGGTGGTCATCTGCAGTATTCTGCTTTGGTTTGCTCATCACTCTTTGACTCGTAACGTACTCTTTTTTTTTTTCTTTTTCATTCTTCAGTTTTACATTGTCTAACAAAGGCGATGTTCAACTCGATTACCAGTGGCACTTTAGTCCATTTGAGAAACCAAAGACAGTCAGTTTGGGTGAACCGCTGGAAGTACGACCCGACAGACCCCCAAGCTCTGCGGGACAATCCAGCCGGCACACGGGTCGTCCCTCTACCTCAGCGGGGGAGTCCTCAGTACAGCCCCAAACACGTGTACCAGTGATGAGCCAACGTCCTGGGTCCTCTATGGGTGGAAGGCCCCCAAGTGCCCTGGCTCTTGCGTACGAGGCAGGTAGTGTAGTGAGTGAAGGAAGTGACGTTTTTCCTTTCGTGGTCGAGCCGGAGAGTGGAAGCATCCCTGCAGGAAAGAAGGGTAGCTTTGTCGTGAAGTTTTCACCGCTAGATGTCTCAGAGTATGAAGCTGTGCTGAACTTCAGGTAATGGGAGCTATGGTTTAAAATGATTAGTGTTTAAGACCCTGGTACTACTGTTATTTTAAGGTGTTTGAACGTGAGAGAAAGGGAATATGGGATAAGCGTATTTCAAGATATTCAAATGACCTTTTCCCATAGAGACTTATAATGTAAACAATAGAATCGTCCTATTAGAAACTTGTACTGTGCGTAACTGGTCCCGTTAAGATACTTTTAAAAGACTTTGTTTTACAAATTTGAGTTTCAAAAACCGTAGTTGCTGAAATAGAGTTGTCACATGATACTGACTTCCCCTATTATAACGTCAAACTTAGATAGTCCTCTTGTTATTCATACACAGTGCTACCAACCTCCCGCCAGACACAGTCGGCTTTTCCATTCCAGTTCGAGGGCGCAGTCTTCTTCCCTACTGTCACTTTGAGCTGGAGGAGTCAGATTACGTATCCGGTGGGAGACGAAACCCCGAGCTGAAAGGTCCGGGCGGGGCGCCCCCGGGCTCTACCCTGGATCCAAGTACCAAGGTCATTGAATTCAAATCGTGCGGAGTCAAGGTCAAGAATATCAAGTAAGTTGAGCAGGAAAGTGAAATGCGAGAAGAGGGAAACAAGCGTGTACACAAGTGCTTGTGATAGCTTGACGCTGTAAATAGCAAGCAAATTTCCTGGCGAGAAACTTCTTATCTAGTTGCTTACTTTTGTGTTTTTGCGATTCAACACCCTAACATCATTGAAACATGTTTGAAATTTGCTCCGTCTCGCGGTGCGTTTTGCTTTTGTTTCAAAACAAGTCCTGGTCCAAAATCTTTCACATGAAAGCGACCTTGATGTACATGAAAATAAATGAACTCAACCTTAAAACTCATCTTGATTTTGAGATTTTGTCCCAGCAAAATCGTTTTGAAACTGAGGCAAACGACAACTTGGAAATAACCTTTTCGCACTCTGACATCAGTCAATATTACTTCATAACATGACCAATAAACTGTCCACGCAGGCGATTTAGTGTGATCAACCCCACGAACACCAACTACAGTTTTGTGTGGACCAATGAGGACACGCTGGACGGTGCTCCTCCAGAAACAGTCAACTTCCGGTGCCTGACTCCTGAGGGGAGTATACTGAGTGGCAAGAAGCATGAGATGGTGTTTGAGTACGTGTCTGACTCGCTCGACTTGGTGGAGTCGTTCTGGCGGTTCTTTGTGCCTGAATATAACATCTCCATTCCCTTTGTTATGGTTGGACACACGTTTGAGCCCGCGCTCTCCTTTGACAGATCTCATATCAACTTCAGAGAGATGTTGCTGGGTAAGACGAGACTTTGTTTTAAAATTGCATCTTTCAAAATTTAGCAAAGGTATTTAAATTCTCGTTGCGCGTGGTAAAGTCGAGAAAGCTAACCCTCAAGTGTTACTGCTCTACGCTTTCAACGACTAAGTTGTCTAACTTTTTTTTAGTATTGAAAGAGAGGAAAAATATAAAATTGTGTAGGGTATACTGCATTCGTTATTGCGTTTGGCTTTACTGTGTCCAGATTTCAAATATGAAAGGCCTTTGAGGGAGGGAGGCTTCCAATAAAGAAAGGCTTTACTAGTACTGAGCACCAAAAATAGCTTTGTGTTTGAATTTGGCATTAGTTTCTAGCACCTTTGACTACTTACTTACTGCTCCAGTATTTGGAAGATAAAAGAAAGGTCATGTTGCTGTCATCAGGCATTGTTCTCTCGAACTTTACAAAGAGTAAATCACACAAATTAATAAACAAACCACCGAAACATTCCCGTTCGTGTAACTAGAACCCCGGTGCTATAAGGTAATATGGAGGGTGCCTTACAGATATAGAACAACCATGTTTACGGTGTCCATTGATTTGAAATATATTCAAATAAGATGTGTTGTGGCGCGCAACACTCAGTAATCACCGTATATCGTTGTTTTACAGGTCACCCTGCAAAGGAAACTGTACAACTGGTGAATGAAGAGAACATTCCATTCACTTTTTCATTCAGTGAATCGTCTTGTCACACAGAAGGATATGCCTCTAGTCTGACTGTTGAACCAATGTCTGGTACTATTCAGCCGAAGGCCAGGTATGGAAATTTATCCCATCCTCTACAAAAAATCAAACAATAAACTTTTTTTCCAACTTTTTTTCACATAGAATCAAAAGCGATGAGAGATCGCCAGTTCTATGTATATTTTGGAAAGGATTGATGTCTACGAATGCGCAGTGGCAATAAAATGTGCTTATTACATGGCTCCAATGCACTAAGTAATGATTGTGTTTTAGCGATTTGGTAGGGGGCGATTTACGCTTATTTGAGAATAGTAACTGCTGATTAGCTGTTTTATGATGTTACTACAGAAACAGTTCAATCCAGATTCACTGAAGTTGTATTTATGTTTACAGACTGCCAATCGAGATCTCCTTTACAGCAACAGAACAGAAAGAGGTGAACTTCAACGTTCTTTGCCACGTGAAAAAGAAGACGTCTCCCCTGACCTTGAACGTGAAAGCAGAAGGGTACGCCATGAACGCTCAGCTGATCTGTGAAGACTCTCAGGGTACCAAGGTAGAGCTGACGTCCAAAGGCACCAACAGGATCAACCTTGGAATGGTAAGAATAACTGATAAGATTACACGTGGTGAAAGGAGGTAAAGTCAGCGTTCGAGCCAAGTGGCCCACCAGGCCGGTGCTTATCTCTGCTTTCGTTAGCACGAAGCGACTAGGAGTATTTTTACTCCCCCCCTAGATGGGATGCTAGTTTATACACCTAGGTGGAGGCGCGGTGACCTCATGGTTAGTGCGCTTGTCTCCGGATCAAACGGTCCAGGTTCGAGCCCTGACGGGAGCAGTGTTTCAGCCAGAGCGCGCCATTGCGGGAATCCCGCGTTGNGATGACGTCACGATGATGGTGTGATTTCCCTGCCCGAGTTTCCCTCAAACACAAATCCAAAATGGCCGCTGATTGTTGCGTTTTCAAATTTCTCCGGCGTAGTGTGGATGGAAAATATTTGATGGGTTTTCAGAGCGAAAACGCCGTTTTCAGTTTTCTCCGGCGTGTTGTGGACGGGGCTCTACTTAAGCAGTAACTCGTTATTACAACATCAATGCCAAACACTTCGATCAGTCCTGGTTAGGAAAAACTGTGTTGTGTTCATAATGAGAGGTGTCCCACAGACTACTGTATTTACAAAGTGTTCTCATATGCTCAGCTTCTTAGTCATCAAGTAGCACTTTATGGATTTCTAATTGTATTCTCTTCATTCAAGGTTGAGATCAACGAGAAAGCCACACGGCAGCTGTTTGTCATTAACTCAGGAAGGTTCAACTTCGACTTCTCTTGGGAGATTCATAATCGAACCAAGCTCAAGGGGCTCCGGGTCGCCGATGGGGAGAAGTTAGTGTCGGTGACCCCGGAGAGCGGTACGGTACCGTGCAGTACCCGTAAGAGGTGCCAGTTATCTTTCTGTCCCCCCGGAAGACTCTCTTTGGCAGGATGTGATCTGCTGTTAAAGGTATGCTCAATGTGGTTTTGTTAATTTATGTGAGCTTCCAGTAGAAATTGTTATGATCTTCGGGGTAAGCCCATCATAATTGAACTACTCTTCCGAGATCCATGCGACAAGCCGAAGGTATACTACACTGTACAGGATTGTTTGCTTGGAAAATTTTAAATGTTTGACAGCCGAGAGAGTGTTTTCTTTGACTATTTTGCGCAGTTTTAGATTCGTTTTGCTCGTGATTTATTTCCATCGTTACGAAGGGAGCTCTATGGTCTAAGATTTGGGATTGTCCTCGTGCTGTGTCACTTAACTTCCGCAGTGACTCTCTCCGCCCAGGAATATAGATACTGTTGGAGAAAACAGACTAAATCCCTTAGTGGGAGGAGGTGCGAACTCCAATGCTCCTGGGAGAGTGGTTTCATTCCTTACTTGTTTCATGCCACAGAATCCATGAGTTACGCGTTGTCATTAACGAGCCATCAGCTTCCTCTGATATCTATGATTAACAGCCACCTTGATGTAACACGTCTTTAGTATGACTTTAATTTTGTGTGTATTTCTAGGTCACCAACGGTCCCACGTTCACCATCAATCTGACTGGTACGGGTGTGCAGCCAGGACTGAACTTCTCTTTCGTAAGGCACGACTTTGGTCCGTGTTTCCTGTACCGTGCCGGAATGCCTCTCAAACGAACCACACTCATCATCAAGAACGAGGATACTAAGGACATTAGGTTGGCTTTTGTGTTGTTTCATGTAAATCGCTTCATTATTCTGTCGGTTCGATGGGTCCATAGCTTGTCAAGTTTCCTATTAAGAACTCCAGGTCCTAGCCTTGGTCCTACTGAGCTATTCTTTTGAGCTTTTGAGGCACTTTACTATCTCATTATCTCTCTTAATCCAGTCTTAGTATTCTACAAAAAGTACCGAGTTCCGCCTAATCTGACATTCTATAGTTTCTGTGAAATTGTGGAAATAAAGTTTTGTGACTGGCGCTAGACAAATTAGCGAGGAAATTAGCAAGAGTAAGATTCACACATTACAAGACAAGTCTTCTTTCTTCTTTTGTAGAAAAAAATAGACCCTTCCAATTCTAGAACATAAACCTTTTCATCATGTTGTTAACGCTGTAACATATTTTGTTTAGTATCGAGAGTCAATATGAGAATTGTGCACACCTGGAGGTACATTGTCAGCCCGGAGTCCTGATTCCTAACCAGGCCATGCAGGTGGATATCGTGTTTTATCCCCGGGAGGCCAGGAGATACCACGAGACAATCCCATTTGAGATCAACGGTCTGTCCACCATGAATGTAGAGATATTTGGCGAGGGCACTGACATGAAGGTACAGTTACATGTGATCTGTAGTAAGTGACTTCTGGTTACTAGCAGCGATGAAGTAAGTTACTCTTAGGAAAATCTTCGACCTGGTTTCATTCACAAGGGTAGTTCCGCACAGTACGAAATTCCGTCAAAGTCTTCTGCTTTTTTTGCGACACGGGGAATTTTTCACTAAAAAGTTAAAAATTAAACCGAAAAGGAAGGTTGAGGAAGAGAAAAGACATTTGACTGTTACTGTTATCTCACACGTTGACCAAGGCATGAGTGTAAGACCCTTGTCAATCGGTGCATCATAGGTACAGCTAAAACACTGAATACAAACGCTTTCAGGTTTTTCCCGCCGTAATTTTTTGACGTTAGTAGAAATCAAATAGGCGTCGCCATATAGCTGATCAACCTGTTTTAAAACTGGATCGCACGATAGTAATACAAAGTAGCAAGGAAACAACCAGGCACCTCTATGTCTTACTTCGTGTGTTTTTCCTTTTTCCCTCTCCAGGTGGAAGTGGCCAATCCTTCGGACAGGAAGGTGAACTTTGGCGCCTTGCGTGTCGGTCAAACGAACCAGCGGAATCTGAAGCTAGTGAACCGCAGTCCTGCACCAATCACGTTCACTCTAGCTATCACGCCAGCTGTGGTGGCATTACAGCAGGCCAATATTCTCACTATCAACCCGTCCACGGAGATCACGCTTAGGGCCAATGGTGGATCATGTGGTGTAGAACTGACGTTCAAACCCAAGACACGCATACCTCATTTCACTGAGGAGGTAATTACCTTTCTTGTCTTTTACTATTTGCCTTTGAATAGGGCGTGATGAGCGTTGAGTCGTCGTTTTTTCGTGGAAATGTGCCGTGGACGTCTCTGTAGCCAGTTGTTTTCCACCACAGCATAGCTTTTAGTATTTCCCGCCATAATGTGACGCGTCCGTAAAAACTTTCAGGTTTTTCCCGCCGTAATAGGTGACGTCGTTCACAGGTTTCAGTTGTTTCCCTCCGTAATGTGCGTTGCGCATCTGTAACTGCTCCATTTGTTTCCCGCCATTATTATGTAGCCTTCCTTCTGAACTTCCAGTTTTATCTTGCCATAATACGCCACATCCGTCTTGCTGTCCAGTTTTCTTCCCCGCCGAAACTCCGGCGTGGTATTCTCTGAATATCCCGCTTTTACCATTAGGTCACGAGTGGGATAATGCTATCAATACCGCTAAAGGGAAAAAAAAAACAGTGTTCAAATGACAAATTCATGTACAAAGATTGACCCATACAGTATGTCATGAATCTTTGTATCTTCTCCCAAGTGAGCTCTCTTTCTTTTTTTTTTTTTAATAATAATACAGGTGATGCTGGAGTGTGCTGGTATGTCTCAGCCCATCTTTGTGGTAACAGGTTCATGTCAAGGAATAGAAATTTCTTTGGACAGTGACTCGGTACCTTTCGGCGCGGTGGTGCTCGGTAGTCGAAGCACAAGGAAACTAATCATGCACAATACTGGAGACATAGGAGCAGCCTTCAATTGGAATATAGATAAGTTTCAACCCGACTTCTCCATCTCACCAGCTAAAGGTTATATTTCACCCGGCATGGAGGTGTCATTTGAGATCCTTTTTCATCCGACAGTGGTTAATCACGATATGAGATACGAGGTGAGTTTCTTATCAGCTAGTGAAAATTCTGGTTATTTCCTGGAATTCGGCATTGGTAAATCAAGGGGTTCATTAACCGTTACCGGAAGAGGGCAACTGGTGTTCACAGTCGGGGAAAGTTAAACTGAACTTCTTTATCAGAAAAACTTTCCTCTAGATGGTCAAACCAGGCGGGCAAAACCATCTTGACTGCCAGTCAATTTGCCCGGTGCCCGGCTCTTAATGAAACCTCTGCAGTAAAATACAGCTTGTCAATTAATTCTGTGATTCATCTACACAATCCGTGACGTCCACGCAAATGAACGGGGTATGTTTTAGTACTTGTGTACGACAAAAACACCGTAAAATTTTAATGCTCGTGTCAAATGGTAAGTTAGAAAACTCAGGAAAAAGGCTGACTTTCTCCACTTCTTCATTTCTTCTGCTATACATGTGCCCTAAATAGGCTGCCGTTGTAAACATTCGGTTTTTGTTTCTTTACAGAATCTGCGTTGCGCCATCGAGGGAAGCAAACCTCTGAAACTGGTTCTGACGGGTAGCTGCATTCCACAAACGCCCCTCAAAGAGGTAAAAAATCACATGCACTACGCTAGAAAAATAAACTTGCTAAGATCATAGCAAAGTCAACAGGCATTATTTGATATAAAGAACAGTTCTCTGAATGACTGAGGGTGCCAGTAGTTGAAATGGATTTTGAAAACGTACTGGTGTAGTCNGAACTACACTCACCCGGACGATCACTCTATACGAACTATTGATACTCCTGGGTTCAAACCATTTACTAGGGTTTAATGTCTCTTGTATAAAAGTGTTTTCTATTGGTAATGTTTGATGCAGTTCGAAATCAGTCGACTTCAAAACTAGAGGACATAAAGGACATGAAATTAAAAAAAGAACACCTCATCGAAAAGTGTAAAAGTAACTTGCATATCAAACACGAGAGACCGCGCCTAACCACCTTTCCAAATACGGAGACGGAGGGTTGAAAATACAACGCGTAGCGGAGTACTTGTGACGAACTTCGAGGTGTTTGAAATGGGGTAAAACACTGTCCTGCGTAGTTGATATATCTTCCCAAATCGAAACTAAAGAGAAAACGGAGAAAGTAAATCGTGATATCACATATCCCCACACCGTCACGATTATGGTTTCCTTTGTTTAAACTTCAATTATTAACGAGTTTGAGAAGCTTAAATCAAAATTCACCCTGACCTTGGATTAGCTTAATCATACTTTGAACACCCTCGCCCAGAGCTTCTTTCTTTTCTATTCCTTATCGTACATAGTTACGTTTACACGTAACCAGACAGATCAGTTTTACACGTATTTTTCCTATCCTAGGTTCTTCACTTTGCAACTCATGTTCGTACACGCGACACGCGAAACCTTGTTATCCATAACCGGACGAACCAGTTGTGGATGTTACGTCCCGTGATAGACGGTGAATACTGGTCTGGTCCTGACACAATCACTGTAGAGCCACAGCAGAGTAAGAACTACGAGTTAACGTACAGACCACTTACCATGACCCAGGAGGGAAAGAAACACATGGTAACGAATACTTCCCACTGGCTAATTTTTACGTAAGGATTATTTGTCGAGTCGGTTTGGACTGATTTTCTTGAGGGAAGTCAGTTGAAGCAGCAGAAGTTAGGAGCCGGGGCGACTTTTAAATTCTGCTTTACGTGAAGCAAAAGGCAAATATCCATCCACGTTCACAAGTTACGCAGTGACTGAAATTTCTTCGGGCCTATTCAGTTCATCACCCTCGTGAATTTTATTTTAAGGAGAGCCGATACATTTGGTGGACATAATGTACCGTGTAATTCGACCTTACCAATCAATTGCACTTTAAGCTTTTTGGAGAAAAAAAAAAACGCTTTTTTGGCATTTTCAGCATATGATTTAAGAGAAAACAGGGGAAAGATACTAGTTGCCAAATAAAAAAGAAAACTGATTGTAACTTGTCAATAACATACATGTACCTGTTTATGAGTAGCATGGCTCGGGTTCCGTTAAAGGTACTTGTTTCAACCCACAGACATAATCCGAACACCACACCTGTTTTTTTGTTTCAGGGCTCTGTATTTTTCGCCCTGCCGGATGGTAACGGCCTCCTGTACAACGTGACAGGAAACGCAGAAGGTCCTAAGCCTATTAACAACCTACAGAGGGAAGTGCCTTGTAAGACTCCTTACACTGAAATGCTGACTGTCACGAACTGGTTGAGACGTCCCCAGAGGTTTGATAATCTGTCTTGTTTCATGAGAAAACAACAAAAAACCTTTATGCGCTGTTAGTGCTGTACAAAATTCAAAGATACGTGAGGAGGGCGTGACCAGGCACAGCGGAGATATTTAAAATCTTGAACTTTGTTTTCTGTCTCGAGTGACGTATATTGTTATCTTGGGGTAATCTACTTGAATGCGTGATTTGTATAAGTTGCTTCCAAGAGACTATGAGATCATAGTCTCTTGTTGCTTCTCAATCTTTTCTAAGAGATTAGCGAAACTGCTGTCGAAGTGCTTCTCGCTGGATTGATAAAGCTTTGCCCATATCTTCATAGTGTTTTGTTCGGGCTATTCACAGTGTTAAAATGAGATTTACTGATCATTCCGTTAGATTCCGTGTTATTATAGAGATGCTAAAGCCTGATAAACCAGACAGTGCGACAACGCTAAAGGGACTGGACTATATTGATGTCCCGGGGCTTTCCAAGCGGGAGTACAGGCTGAACTTCTTTGCTCATAAAGAGGGAACTTTCAGTGCCAAGGTAAG